TTCTGGCTTGATGTAGTCAGCTCTTTGTGCAATTGCAATAACTGAAATCTCGTCCAAACACCCCTTCCACGTTACTTCCGTCATGGCAATCTCCTCCACCCTCTATTTTCCCCAGTTGAGAGGAGCCATATTTTTCTTGAAATCGACGAATTCTCTCGCTTTCTTCATTACTGATAAACTATTCCCAATCTATACTTCCGTTTTTCGAATAAAAACGGGTACCTCAAAATTATCGTGGACTGTGTCTTTAAAAGTCCTACACTTTGAAGTTGACTGGAGTTGACGTGTGTTTCGTTGCTGAATTGCATGGAGGGGTTAACCCTAAGGAGGTTTAGGAGGTATATTTATTAGCTAGAGGTGTGAGACTAATGATCATCGTTTCACTTTACTTCAGGACTCTTCAAGTTCTAATACAAGATAAAGCATAGGGGGCCGAAAAAAAAGAAAAAAATCAGAACGAGCAGCCAGAGAATTTAGTAAGATCCTGGACTGTTCTAGATAATATCTTTTCTTCAAGTTTACTTCAATCAGGATACTTCTTTACTCGAACTTTTCACTATTTAGGGGGTAAGTAGGCTCTACGGCATAACCTCTCTACTTTCAAATGGTAAAGGTGTTTCAAGTTTTTGATGTAGCAAAGAAAATCGGTGGGTTCGGATGGGTTTTGCTACTATGATGACTCTTCTATATTTTTTTGGAATTTGCAAAAAAAGTGGATGAAGGTTGCTCTACTTCAGAAATAAGAAGTTAGAATTTTGTGTAGTATTTTATTTGAAAAATATTCAGTGAGTTTGATTAGCCTGAACGATCATCACGTAATATAGACGTCCGATTCCGACCAGAAATGAAATAATCACATGACCAAAGGGGTTTTACCTGATTATTCTCTACACGGTAATAATCTCGAAATTTCTTTGTTTCGGCTCGGAATAGAAGTGAAATCGGCCCACAAACGAGATAAGACAAGCGTCCATTCTTCGACACGCTACTTTCACAGCATGCAGCAGCTCAGAGAGGATGACGTAGAGGTGAGCCTTTACACCTACTCTTACATTATTTACACCATTACTAGTATGTATTAAGTAGTAACTTGTGGATTCGGAAACTCTTTTCATTATAAAGTACTGTATATACCGATTCGTAATAGTGTTTCGAGATAAGCGCTTTTACGATGCTACTTGTCTCACCGCTCGATGCTTCAGTCTTTCTTCGAGTTTGTCGCTACAGTATTACCGCTTCACACCATTCTGACTGGGATTTTACCAGCCAAGCAGTTCTTCAGAAGTTAATTGAAAAGTCCTTCGGTGTACTAGTTACTTACTGCTATACCATGAAATCAATGGGGCTGCTCATACCAGAATCCCTCATGTTTGAACGCTTTTCCTAGGTTTTGCTGTGAGTTCAACGAAAGTAAAGCACCCTTACTGGAAGTAATAGGGGTTTTGAACTTCTTCTGTTTCTGTTTTGCTGGAGTCAAAGAGCCTGAGTATGGGAGACAATGATTTTCATCTCAATATTTTCGGTAAAATAATTCTTATTAATTGTTGATCTTTGCTAATGTCCTATTTTTGAAAATGTTTTTGGCTTGAATTAAAAGTACTGCCTATACTGAGCGTTTGGGCGGGAAACAAATCAGCCTTGCCCCCTTCCCATTGGTGGATGCCTGCTCTTCAGTCGAAAACCACCATGGATCACTCATAGACAGATTTGAATGATCCACGGCTTTCGTGCTAAGACATGACTCCACCCATACATTTACAACGGGCAGTGTCTTCAACAACAACCTTCTGAAATGTTTCTAAATTATAGATCATTCAATATGGCACAGGAGAAATATGGGATCAGATGAGAGAATTGGTCCGTTTGGCTAACTGGACTACGCACGATGCGGCCACATGGCAACTCTTTCCCGAGAGGAAAAATATCTATCCAATTTTTGCCATAAGAAAATCAGGTTAGTTTCAGAGATCTACTCTCAAATTACTTTATTTTTCCTAGCGATCGTGCAAAGTTTTGATACTATTTAGATAGTCAAAAATTTCCTTATTTCAAATCGCTTTCTATAATTCGATTTTTGAAAATTTGTTATTTATAGTACACATTCAGACAACTATCTGCTTGGCGGTGTTGCGTTAGTCGAGACGGATATCGTCCTAGGTGCCTTCTATGTGATGAGGCCTGAACTACGAGGATTAGGTACAGGAATGAAGATGATGGTTCACCTGCTGCATCTACTAAACAATGATCTCAAGCATAAGCCGGCCATAGGACGAGCAGGTTTGAACTTTTCTTGAACTAAGACTTGAAAGGGAAGGGTCGTAACTCGCCGAACTGACCTACTTTCGATAAAGTGATGGCATGTGTTGACCATTTCGACTTTTCGTCACGCCATTAAGACTGCGACTTTGTAATTAACAGAGCAGCTTCTTCTAGAGAGGAGGTTTCATGCACGACGGAATCCTCCTAGTAGCAAAGCCATTTCACCTGTTCACAGCTTTGTAGTTTTTTAACTGCCGAATTGCACCTAAGATAGCCCCTCACCCGCATGGGCTCTAGCCTGTGGGTCAGGGGGTGCGCTTCGTTGCGCGTTTCCGTCGAAACTAGGTCACGCCGCAGCCGTCGCATGCGGCGGGTCAGCCCGCGATACTTGACAGACGTCGTAGCCGTAAGCGGGGCATACGATTTGCGCTTTCTCCACGATAGTCAGCCAAAGAGAAGATAAAATAGACAAATGCAAATCGTTCGCTCCACTCACACTTGGTGGTACCGTAATGTCATCTCGAGACCTCAGTGGAGTGCGCCGCGCGCGAAGTAGGCGGGGTGACCTACTTTCGACGGACACGCGCAACGGACGTTCGCCGTGGGTCAGGAGCCATAGCACATAGATACGGAAAACCCGGAAATGAAGAGCCAAGGAGTCTAAAAGAAGTTATTCAAAAAGATTTGCAATCGAAATTACTTAATTAGTTAGTTAATTATTAAATAGTTTAGTCCAAGCAATGCTCGAAAAGTACAGTGGACCGCCATTTAACGCCATACACCATCACGAGATGTACCGTTTCATGCTTTCGAAGGAAGAAATCTTAAAAATGTTTCCAACCACAGGCAGCACTCTAGTACCGATATCAGTCAAGGTTCTTCTTCGTTCTTTCATTGCTTGCTTGCCCTGAAATAGATGATAAATCAGTTTGGTTTCTTTAGGATATGAATCCTGCTCAGTTTGAGAAGGTTTGCGCCTATGATGAGCTCGTTACCGGACGTAATCGTCGAGAGTTCTTGAAGGAATTCTATTCAGTCTTTTTCACAAACGGTAAGCAAAATTGCCAGAATACAAAGTAAACGAAGTCGTCAATGCGAAATTTCTCACTAGCGCTAAATTTTGCCGTTTTGCAATGAGATGGCGCACTGTTCACCAAAGAATGAGAGTATATCATATGGTAAGGACCTACAGACGTGCCATTTTGCTGCAGCTTGCGAACATCGCGCGCGGATTGAGACGGCGCCTCTTTGCCGCGCGTAGTCCGCCACCAGCATCTGCGGAAGCATCAAACCGTCATGGAAAGACAAGGTTAACACAGGAAGAAGCTACGGCCAAATTAGGAATGTTCTTCTAACGTATCGTGGGCTACAGAAGCAGAACTAGAATCTTGCCCAGTTCAGCTTTTTCTTTCTTTAGGGGCATGTCACAACCAGGCATGTCATTGTCAGGGGAAACCAGTGCAAAGAAGCCTGAAGGTAGCGCAGCCCGTATCGCCTACGTTATCATTATACCACCAAAGAACCTTGTTCTGAAANGATACGGATACGCGTCATGCTCTCGGACCGGCTTTGTTGGGTCGTATAAGCCATGGGTATTACAATCTTTATTGCGTTGTATAAGTAACGGGCAGTTCAATCGTCTGACACGTCTTTTATTCCACAAATGGTCGGTGGGTGAAGAATTGTCAGATAGCGAAATCTGCGGAGCATCTTTCTCAAGTTTGCCGCGCGCTGTGTCCTAGATTTGGTACTATGTCCTCAATGACGGCTCCTGACCATCTTACTGAAATCCGTTCTGACTGAAAAACTGTATTTTTTTATAGACGACTTTAGCTCATTGTAAAATCAGATGATATAATTAGATTTCATTGCTATTCAACATTACATTGCAGGCGTCGGTTTGTTCGATGCTAGTGGAAATGTGCATGGGTTCATTGGAGCAGTGCCTACAGTGGCTGATAATCAGGTTATCAAAATCAGTCCGATCTTCGCCTCAAACAACAACGACGTCGGATACTTGCTGAAGTGCATTTTGGAGATGATCCCGAAACCCGACGCCAAGTATGCTATACATCCAACTACCAACAGTGCTGGAGACTGGATGCTTCAGAAATGTCGCGATGCCGACATTCCCCTCGTGTTCTGCGGTACGGCTGGTAATTCTACGCATAACAATATCATCTACAAAGATCCTTGCAAAGTCGAATTAATGTACGCTCCCATGAATAGCGCGCTTTTCTTCGATCGATAGTACTTCATGTACTTTATTTTACTGCAATCCTTGAAAATGCAGTCATGTATACAATCGAATCACTCGCCTCTTTCAAATAAATAAACTTCATCGTATAAACAAATCTTTCAGAACATCTAACATATGTATATACACTTATGGCAAACAACTATCGACATTAGATGCGATTTACAGTACAATCAATCAACCTGAAGAGTCTTCGGAAGGCATTTGATAAACTGGAAAGCATTCGAGGCTTTTTTTAGTGGCTTTGCTCGAGCTAAGGTTATAGACAGGGTCATTTTGACTATCTCAACATTTCCATTGACCGTTGCCTCCCCTACCGAGAAAAACGAAGAGGAAATATGGTTGGTGGGGCCG